CAAAAATAGAATCAGACGCTCTGACACCTCGAATTGCCACTGATCTAACCTTCCTCTGTGTTTTGGTGCGATCGGTTGTGCGACCCGGGTATGTTTTTTAATTATGGGTTGTGTTAAAGAGGTTTAGATTTTGTGTTTTGAGGATTTTTTGTTGTTGTTTTACTGTTGTTTTCATAATTGGTTTATTCATAATTATTATATAGATGATGTAGAATATACTATATGTATAAATTCAACTCTGGATTTTCACATACACGAAACATAAGATAATAAATAAATTAATGAGAAATAAATCAAGCTTATCAAAATAACACATAATCTATACATAAATCATACCCATCTTAAAATAATACATTCCATCACTTTCAACCCCAACGAATGTCCAAAACTACGGATTTATAAATAGACGAAAGAGAAGAGAATATACGAATAAATAAAAAAATATATCAAGCTTATATAACCCATACATAAATCATACCCACCTTAAAATAACAGGAACCCAGCAGACCCAAGAACCTCACACGTTCCCTCTCCGCCAGGCAAACCTTCCGAAGTGAACGTGTGGACGGAAAAGCGAGACGACGACACTGTGACTGTCCTTTGTGAGGTCGATGAGATTTATCCCGAACCTGAACTCACCCTCCACATCGTTGCTGATTCCGATAACAAGTGAGTTCCTTTATAGATGTGTCGGTTGTGTGTGAGTGCTGGGTGAAACGTGTTGATTTTGAGTGTCTTTAAGAGTGTTGTGTGTGAGTGCTGGGTGAAGTGTTGATTATGAGTGTCTTTAAGTGTTTTGTGTGTCTTTAAGTGTTTTGTGTGAGTGCTGGGTGAAAAGTGTTGATTTTGAGTGTCTTTTAGAGTGTTGTGTGTGAGTGCTGGGTGAAGTGTTGATTATGAGTGTCTTTAAGAGTGTTTTGTGTGTCTTTAAGTGTTTTGTGTGAGTGCTGGGTGAAAAGTGTTGATTTTGAGTGTCTTTAAGAGTGTTTTGTGTGTCTTTAAGTGTTTTGTGTGAGTGTTGGGTGAAAAGTGTTGATTTTGAGTGTTTTTATGAGTGTGGTGTGTGCTGGGTGAAAAGTGTTGATTTTAAGTTTCTTTAAGAGTGTTGTGTGAAAAGTGTTGATTATGAGTGTCTTTAAGAGTGTTTTGTTTGTCTTTAAGTGTTTTGTGTGAGTGTTGGGTGAAAAGTGTTGATTTTGAGTGTTTTATGAGTGTGGTGTGTGTGCTGGGTGAAAAGTGTTGATTTTTAGTGTCTTTAAGAGTGTTCCGTGAAAAGTGTTGATTTTGAGTGTCTTTAAGTCTTTCAGAGTGTTGTGTGTGAGTGCTGGGAGAAAAGTGTTGATTTTGAGTGTCTTTAAGAGTGTTGGTGGGGTGGGGGTGAGGGTTAAGGAGTGTTTTGTAGAATTATGAATCAGGAATTAAAAGTATTGATTGTATGCCAGTGCTTCGTTAGAAATATTGGGTGTTGGTGGGTGCCTTGTAGCACTGTGAATTATGAATTAAAATCATAGTTTGTATGTCAATGTTTCGTTAAGAATAGTGGGGTGTTGATGGGTGTTTTGTAAAATCAAAAATCATGAATTGAATTATGAATTTAAATTATTGATTGTAAGTGGATGTGTCGTTGAAAGTATTGATGGTAAATTAATGTTTGCGGGACGTATTGTTAAAGGTAATGGTTTTAGAGGAGTTTTCCCTTAAAATTATTGGTTGTCAATGTGTTTTTTATCTTTTTTCTTGGGGCAATAGTGTATTTTCATGAACTTTTATTGTTTTGCAAGTACTTCCGATCCCTTAATGGTAGAAAGGTAGTTACAGATCACCTGAGTCCACTTGTGACAAATCTAGACCACTAATTTGAGGCCATTTCGAAAACTTATTAGGGAAAAATGAAAATCCTTTGAGCCAGAAGTATGATACAAGGGTCATTTTCAGTCGCTCTTGCTCGTGGGGTCCTTTATATTAAATCATTTGCCAATTTAGTTCACTGGGTCGATTTTGCTTCAATTGGGGGGGGGGGTTGTACGTGGGAATCTGAGTGTGTTTTAATTATGTGATTTTTTTCTTTTTATATAGATACGTTTTAGGATTTTTTATTAAATGTAGCTTAATGCGTGTCATTTTGTAGTAAGTCTGGTCAATAGAAAATGGATTTATTTCTCGTGAGAGCCCGACGAAGAGAGAAAGAGTTAAGGAAAATTCTTCCAACCAAATATTATTTTGTCATATGACCTGTGACTTTTTTATTTGACGCAACCTTACAATATTGCGTTAAGGAGCATATCCTCTTTTTTCTAAACATCAGAATCTTATCCTCCCCCCCCCCCCCCACCCTCTACCCCGAAGGACGATACTGGCCGGAGCGAAGGAAGTGAAGTCATGGTCACAGGGTTCGTACAGCGCCATGATCGAACTGGAAATCGAGGAGGACGACTTAGACGGACCTGTCGAGTTCGTATGCGAGGTCGCGATTCCTGACACCGACTTGGTCTTCCCTAAC